TTACAGTTAGGCCACTCTAACACCGTACGTCGTAGAGCCCGACATTAAATATTTTGATGCAATTAAAACGTATAGCTGCCTGCTCGTATTGTGGTTCAGCAAGCATGCCAATGTATTCTGATAGAAAATATATTATTGTGGCCCCTCCATACAAACAGCTGCATGATAAGACTGGATTCATAAAGCTACTGTGGATGTCAGCCCCCACCTGCTCTTATTGCCGGTAGCTTGTCATGACCCATCCTCGACACGACCAGATATTTAGCCTGTTTGATACTCAAGAGCCAAGGGAACACCCATTTTCCTCTGATCTGGGGGCTTTTGTCGGTAATCTCTAAAAACTATCGCTGAGTGGGCTACAATCTAGGCATTAGTTGCTCTCTGACTCATAAGACTTTATCCTTACCTGTTGACCACCAAAGGGGTTGTACGCAGTGACCACCTGCCCCATGAACATGGAGGTGGGCACCATGACTGCTCCACACGGCATTGGGGCGGTCACAAGCTTAAGCTGCTGTCCTGCTGGGAACCTGGAAAGAGCGAAATAGAGAAAAGGGAAAATAAATGGGCAGAAACAATAAATTACAGCAACCATGAATCAAACTGGATGTCTACTATTCAAATCTTCTCACACAGCTTGGTTTCAGGTGGAAATTCCGCTTACTAAGGAGCAGTAATTCCTAAAGTATCATGTTTGGGTGTTGTCTACTTACCGGATCTGTCGGTCCTGTGTGAAGGTGGCCACGGCGGTGCCTTGCTGCGTGTTGTTCTGCGGCAGGCTGGTGCTGATCTGCAGCACGTTGGGTTGCCCTGGCTGGGAAATCATCATAGTGTTGTATAGTGGAGCAGAGACAGAGCCCTGGGTCTGGGCTTGAGCCTGCGAAGGTTGCTGGGGCTGGCGTTGGGGCTAGAGAGATGCAATGTGGGGGAAGGGGAGAAGGAACTCACATGAATTTTTTCCTCCAGTTTTCATAATGGTATATGTCTAATTTGAACATAGCTTAAAATAAATCAACCAACCAGTTAATACACAGAAAAACAGAAAATAAATTGAAGCTGTTGCACATTTGACACGTTTTTATTTGCAGTAGCAAGGTGTCTACATAAAAAGGTAGGGGACTGGGAGGTTTTATTAAAGCCAATTACAACTGGAATTTGGGAGAAGCCCCATATTGCAGGGTAAGACTTTTTAGAGATTATTTAGTTACAGTATTGCTCTGGATACAAGAAAATACACATATGAAGTGAAATGTGTTGCCTCTGTTGCCCTGCCTGTTCTGAATGGACTTCATTACTACATGACAAGATAAGTTAGAAAGAGCAATATTCCAAATGAAGGGGTAAATACGATGGTTTGTGTGTTTTACAGTGCTCCAGTTCTCACATGATTAAACAGTAACAGCACACCCTGTGGCTCGTCCTGCCTTTTGAAGGAGATCTAAACATTACAGCTTCACAGAACAGTACTGCGTTTGTGAAATTCTCCACATACATGTGACCAACAGTGTCAAAAGTTCAA